TAATGTGAGTAGTTTTTTCCCTATAAGGGAACAAATATTGGTATGGCTTAATAATAGACTACCCAAATTTTCAATATCTTAGGCATTTGTTTCCAAATTTATTAAAAAATGTTGATTGTTAAAAGTTGTGTTCTTGCTAAAACTCATAGAACTTGTTACTCCTTTCAACCTTATCATGCATCTAAACCTTTTCGTTTAATCCATAGTAATGTATGGGGTCCATCGTTATAACCCAATTTGAAAAAAGGTGGTTCATAACCTTTATTAATGATCACACTCAGATGTGTTGGCTCTATCTTATGCATGAAAAATCCAATGTTCCTAATATACTTAAATTTTTTTCACAAATTGTAGAAACACAATTTGACACAAAAATATTCATTTTGAGAAGTGACAATGACACTGAATATTTTAATAAGTATCTCAAAGAATTTCTTCAAAATAAAAGTATTCAACATGAATCAACACGCCCAAACACTCCTCAACAAAATGGCACTACTGGAAGAAAAAAAATGTTGAAGTAGTTTGCACCATCATGTTTGAGAATAATGTTCCAAAGTATTTAATGGGGGATGTTGTCCAAACAAAAACCTATCTCATAAATAGAATGTCCACTCGTGTTAAATTATTGCACACCTTTGGACACTTTTAAAAACTCCTTTCCATCATGCTGATTGCATGTTAATCTATCATTAAAAGTGTTTAGTTGTACTGTTTTTCTGCATACACCTTCTACCTCTTAGTCTAAACTAGACCCAGGAGCGAAAAAATGCATTTTCATCACACAAAAAGGTTATAAATGTTTTAATCCCATCACAAAGAAGTTTCATGTTAACATGGATGTTAGCAAAATACCAACACTATGGAGTCAATGGGAGCAAAAATTACATTTGATTTCAAACTCGTTAATTTGCTTCTTGATTCAAGAGTTCACACGAGTTTAAAGAGTAAGAGTTTATTGTAGAGTTAACTTGTTTTCTCTACTTAGGATTGTAAACTTGGAAGATTTTACCAGTTAACTCAAGAGTTTGACAACCTTGGATGTTACCTTCTTGAAACTAAATACCACAAGATTTCTCACGTAACACTACAATTCTCACTTTTAATATTAATTTGCCCATAGCCTCCATTAGGAAAGTAACCAGAGTCTGCGCAAAAACAAATACCAAAACCAGCACAAACCATCCCATTTCCGAATATATTTCCTACCAAAACCTTTCCAAAAATAACCAAGCCTTTATCTCTAAAATTACAAATTGTTTGTGCCTAGAAACATTGAGGAAGCACTAGATGATCCCAACAAGAAATTAGCAGTCCTAGAAGAGTTGGATGCACTTGAGAAGAATGGACTGGGGAGATTGTAAACCTGCCCCATGATATTAAAAAAAAAAAAAAAAGTTGGGTCTAAGTAGGTCTTTACCATTAAGTGCAAGGTGGATGGAAGTGTAGAAAGGTACAAAGCTAGATTGGTAGCGAAGAGATTCACCCAAACATATGGAGTAGATTATCAAGAGACTTTTGCTCTAGTTGCCAAAATTAACTTTATATGGATTCTTTTATCCCTTGATGCCAATTTCAAGGGGCCTTTACATCAATTGGATGTAAAGAATGCCTTTTTGAATGGGGAACTTGAGGACGAATTGTTTACGAGTCTTCCCCCTGGATTTGAGGAAGAACTTGGAAGAAATAAGGTTTGTAGACAAAAGAAGTCACTATACAAGATTAATCAATCTCCTAGAGCATGGTTTGAGTGGTTTGGAACTATTAAAAGGGCTTGGTTATATCCAAAGCCAAGTTGATCACACACTTTTCTATAAGCATTCAACAAATGGTAAGATTGCTATTTTAACTATATATGTGGATGACATTATCTTCATATGTGATGATTTTTTGGAGCTCAAAGATTTGAAGGAGAGACTTTCCAAAGTTTTTGAAATACAAGAACTTGGCCCATTAAAATACTTGGAATTGAATTCGCAAGATCCAAGGGGGGTACTTTTATGAACCAGCAAAAGCATATTCTAGATCTTCTAAAGGAAACTCGATTACTTGGATGCAAAGCTAATGAAACACCCATGAAACCAAACATAACCTTTGGTGGACAAAGGAAGGTATCAGTGATTGGTGGGAAGGCTAATATATCTATCCCACACATGTGCAAACATAACCTTTGGTTTAAGCATGGTAAGTGTTGTGATTCAGGAATTGTGTGTATTGTTGTACACATACCAATCTTATTTATAGAGTGAATACAATAAATGATAGAGATACTAATCTCTAATATTATGGAAACTAATCTAATCATATCCCTAATTGATAGTGAGGATAATAACCATAATATATGTATCCACAATATCTGTAATATATTCACAATATCTGTAACACTCCCCCTCAAGCTGGAGCATATATATCATATGCACCAAACTTGTTACAAATGTAATCAATCCGAGGTCTTTTAAGCGATTTTGTGAACACATCTGCTAACTGGTCACCGGAGGCGGCCAGAGGCAGCGGTCGGAGGCGGCGATCGGAAGCGGCGGCCACCTAAAGCGACGGTCGGAGTTGGCGACTGGAAGCGGCAGTCGAAGGTGCCGACCGAAGGAGGCTAACGAAAGCGGTAGTCGGAGTGGGCAACCGAAAGCGACGGTTAGAGGCGGCGACCGGAGGCGGCTATCGAAAGCGGTGGTCGAAGTCAATGACCAGAGTCAGGGACAGGAAACGACGGTCAAAATTAGTGACCGAAGTCGCGATCGTAAGCGGCAGTCGGAGGCAACAACCAGAAGCAACAATCGAAGCGGCGGTTGGAGGTGGCAACCGGAAGCGGTCGTCGGAAACGGCGACTGGAGGCAGCAATCGGAAGCAATGGTCGGAGTCTGCGACCGGAAGCGACGGTCGGAGTCGGCGACCGGAAGCGACGGTCGAAGTCAAAATGACCGGAAGCGGCAATCAGAGGCAACAACCGGAAGCGGCGGCTGGAGGCGGCGATCGGAGTTGGCGACCACCTGAAGCGAAGGTCGGAGTCAGCAACTGGAAGCAGTTGTCGGAGGCGCCGACCAGAGGCGGCTAATAAAAGCAGCGGTCAGAGTTGGCTACGACTGGAGGCGGCGGACTGGAGGCGGCGGCCGGGGTTGGCTGCAACCCGAGGCGACAGTCAAAGGTTGAGGTTGGCAACGCAGCGACCGGAGGTGGCGGTCGGCAGCACGGCAACCGGAGGTGGCAGTCGCCAGCGCAGCGGCCAGCGGCTGCCGGAGGTGGCAGCAAGGACCTTTGCAAGAAGAGAGAAATATATTCTAAAAAAAACCTAAGCTCTAGATACCATGTGATTCAGGAATTGTGTGTATTGTTGTACACATACGAATCTTATTTATAGAGTGAATACAATAAATGATAGAGATACTAATCTCTAATATTATGAAAACTAATCTAATCATATCCCTAATTGATAGTGAGGATAATAACCATAATATATATATCCACAATATTTGTAATATATTCACAATATCTGTAACAGTAAGCTAGTTTATGCATGCACCAAGACCCAAACATATGGGGCATTTTTCAGCATCCTAAGATACTTGAAGAGTCACTTGGGAAAGGGGTATACTCTATAAAAACTGGTCACCATTGTCATGTAGAAGCTTACACTGATGTTGACTAGGCGGGAAGTATAACAAAACCAAGAACAACATCACGTTATTGCACCTTCATTGGAGGAAATCTAGTTAGTTGGAGAAGCAAAAACAGAGTGTTGTAACAAGCAGTGCAGAATCTGAATTTAGAGTAGTGGCTTGTGGAATTTGTGAGGTGTTGTGGGTGGAAAAGGTTCTACAAGAATTGAAGGTTTTCAATTCCCACCATTAAAGTTATATTGTGACAATATACAATATAACTTTGAGAACACTTCATCAAGGAGAAGTTAGAAAGGGGACAAATTTGTATTACTCATGTTCTGAGTGGAGAACAATCAACATATATTGAATCTCTTTGAGATCATAACTGTTCCGGCTAAGGGATGGACTAGGGTTTCTGCCTAGGTCAAGCCTCAAAGCCAGAGCATTCAAAAGTGTAATCTGTCTTCTCAACTCTAGGGTTTTGGGTTTTATGGTGAGTTGTTCGTGGGCCTCTTGGGCCCCGAGGATCAAGGGATTTTCCTAACCGTTCTTATCACGTCGATGCGGGATTAGCGGGAACAAACTCAGTCGGGATCCGACCGACAGGGCCTATACCGAAAGTCCAGCGAGGTACATGCCGAGCGGTCCCCTTGTAGGCGAGAAGATCGAGCTTACCAGGTCAAGTCGGGCCATGACCGAATAGGCTCGTACTGAGCCCTCCTCCGGCTTGATGCCAAAGAGGAGATCGAGGTCGCCTTATTTCCGAGTGCCCCTAAGGCGAGAAGGTTTAGGGCCTGGAGGCCTAGTCGGGTAATTGCCGAGTGTAGGGACGTTAACACTCTATCACCATTAAGGAGATCAAGTCGGTCCATGACCGAGACGGTACAATAACCAACAGGCTGTGCATGGATAGCATCTTCAAGCCAGCTTGAGGGGGAGGGTTGGCAAGGTGTCAATAGAGGATTAAATCTCTATTTGATTCCTATATAGCTAGTAATTCCTTTATTTTTTGTATAATTACTTTCTCAGCTTTTTAGTTTGGCCTATTTTATGTAATTCATCATTGTCATATTTTCTTTCCTTATTTTAGGATTTAGTTTCCTTCTTTCACTTTATGTAATTCCCCTTTATAAAAAGGAGGAAATCCTGCACAGATAGTTATCATTAACGGATTTGACTCCTCTAAAGTGAGAGAATTGTCCTTTAAAGAATAAAATGCAATAATAACCATTAGTTAAAAATTCAACAGTTGGTATTATAATTAATTTTAGATTTAATTCTGCAAAATTTTGATTTGATCACAAATCTCAATTGTTAACTTTTTAATCAACAATTTTAAGTGCACTTTATCTTCTAAAGTACACCCCTTACTTTAGAAGAGTCATACCTATCATAATACTACCTTTGACCCTAATTATAAGCAACAAATTGAATTTTGTCTTTGGTCCTAATTATAAGAAACAATCACTAAATTTTAAAGTTATTCAAGGATAAATTTCTTTTATATCCTTAATTTATTGTTAAATCTATTTTCAATGCATTCACTTATAACTAACATTAAACATATCAACCACTTAAAACAAAGGGTATCTTTGGAATAAAATTTGAATTTATTGTAGAACTAATTAAAAACAGCCAACTTAATTACTTTTCTTGGTCTTGATGATTTGTCATATGTTGCTTATAATTAGGACAAGAGGTAGTATTTCATATTTTCATCGGTAAGATACATATAAAGGAAATTAAAGTTCAAGTGAACTGAAAAAAGAAAGTCTTCTTTTCGTGCTCTGGCTGTAAATGAACAAGCAAGATCTGCTTGACACATAGCACAAGACCTCTTACACGAATAAAAATATTGGGACAGTAAAAGGGCAGATAGCCATTGTATTCAGTGTCCAGAAAAATCAGAGAGACAAGTTAAATGGTTTTCCGGTACATCCATGAGTCCTTCTAGAACAAAACTTACATTTAGTCCCTCAAGTGCTTTGTGCTTTAAGTGTTATTTTCTAATTTGAATTAGAGTTTCACTTCACCAGTCAATGTGCAATAAAAGTTTGCATAAAAGACTAGCATTGATTACCAAGATGAAACTCTAATTTTGATTAGAGAATTAAATCAACAACACCCAAGAAAAGACTAAGAACCATAGGTTTAAGCATTATGTCCATTAAATGGCAATTTCACAATCAAAGCAATTGACAAAGGGTTCCATAAGCTGAAAGACCAAATAGAGTTGCTGAAAATTCTCAAACCTTCTTGGATGGAAAAATGACAACTGAAAAGAAAGTGTATTTTTCCACTAAACAAATAATATGATGAAAACCCAAAAATGGGTGGGTATTATTATTTCAAATTGAAAATAGAGAATGACAGATTACCCTACTGCCTTCCTCTCCCAGAGTACCAACTCCGATTACAATCCAATAAAAATTCTCCAAAACTCCCTCAACTAACTCCCTAAAATTGTTAAAAGAAGATAAATCCTAAAGATAAACTCTGATAACAAAATTCAAATAAGATGACCCTAAATTAAACCCTAAAGATAAGTTGTGATAACAGAATTCAAATGGTAAATCCTAAAGATAAGCTACGATAACAACTCAAATAACATAATCCTAAAGATAAACTATGATAACATAATTCAAAATGACATTATCATAAATAAACTAGATTTCCTACTTTGAATAGGGTTCTACCATACTACAAAAAGCACAACATTTGATTTCAACAAACAAAAAGAAAAAGACATGAGTAAAAATTGCCGAGACTACAAAATATAACCTGCAAGTGGGTAACTATATCAACGGTGGTCACCCTAGATCCATCCTGCTGCTGTCTGAGAATCCATTGATACAATTTCTCCTGCAAGAAAATGGAAGCAGTATTATTCACATAAAAAGGGGGCACAAATAACAAATCCTAATATCCAGTTTTTTGAAAACGAAAGCGCATTTCAAACAGTGCCCAAGACACTCCAGAAACAAATTATGAATCTAACCATATAAAAACCTGAAATTGCGGTAACCCTAAAAAGCTCAGCGCCGATTAAAAAAAAGAAAAAGAAAAAAGGAGCATGATAGTTTTGGTTCCAGGGGCGCGTATATTTGCAATTAAATAATTGAGAATTAAGAAAAAGAAAGGACGGAAGAGCATAAGGCGTGGGAGGGTGAATCGAGGGGAGAGTGACTCACGAGAGCGTGTCGTTCACCGGCCTGGAAGGAGAGTTTCTGTTGGTTCATGGCGTGGGTGTAGAGATGCGATAGGGAATTGGCGGTGCTGCAGAAAGTGGAGTACATGGTTCGATCCACTTCGTCGAGGCGCGTGGCCACGGATTTCCGCTTCTTCGCCATCCTGAGGAAAAGGGGGAATGGCGAATTGAGAGTGAGGAGTGCAGAAAGTTGGTAATGTGTTGTGAGAGAAAGAGAGAAAGGAAGGGACGCGATATGATGATATGATATACGAACGAATGAATGAGTGAATGAATGAATGAATGAATGAATGATGGGAAAGAAAGAAGGAATTACCGTGTCCATCAAAACAATGCTCCAAGTGGCGTACACGTGGCATCTCTCGCCGCTTTTCTCTTTCTCCGTTTTTTCTTTTTGCTCATTGCACCGTCAAAAATAAATTCAATGTTTTTTCGTTTTGGTTTTGCCCAGATATAGAAATTTACCCAGATAATGGTTGGGTATAACTTTAAAAAAACTCTTTTAAGAGTTTTTTAATTAATTTCTTGATAAAAAATTTAAAAGTATTTTTAACTTATATCTAATATACAAGTGATCTTTTTACCGATATATATTTTTTAATTTTGTACTGATGTTTTTTAAATCTTATCTTAAATTAATCTGATTTTATAGAAAGATAAATAAAGTTTAATAAAAAAATTATTTTTTTGTAAAGATTGAACTTAAGTAATACCTTAATGATTTGATAGTATATTAACTATTTGTATTCAACTTCTTATTTTTTTTTATGTGTATATATAATAAAATAATTCATTTTAGGTTTTTAATTTAATTTTAATGGACTTTCAATGACATTTAAAATTTAAGAATTTTTTATTTTTGCCTTAATGGAAGAACTTTAGTTTTATTTATTTATTTTATGGACTTTACATTCCATTTTTTTATTTAAATAAAAAAAAATTATAAAAACCAACTTTTTATAATTCTTATATAAGAATGATTCTTACATCGTATTATTTGTCATTATGCTTCAAAATATAATTTATATGAATCAATTCTTATATTTAAAGACATGGTCAAAAACATTTATTAGAGATAATTTAAGTATTGTACATGAAAAAATAGTTTAATTATTTTTAGTCTAATTTTAAAATTTTTAACTAAATTGCACTTTTGTTTTTTTTTATAAATTTATATTTTTTATCTTCTTATTTTAAAATAAAGAAATTTAATTTCTTATTTAAAAATAAAATATATTTAGTCTCCTTATTTTCTAAAAATATAGAAAGAGGAAGGAAGAGTTCAATATAAAATATGAGGAGATACGATGAACCAACATCTATCAAATTTAAAAAAGAGTTATCAGAAATGGATCAATCTTCTTATTTGGATTTCTCGGTAAAAGAGATCCATGAATGGAGATATAAATACAAATAGTCAAATGGGGGAAATAATTTTCAAAAACATTTAAACTATTTCATTTATAAGCATAATAGTCATTTTTAAGTAATGTTAGATAGATAACATGTTAATCAATATTGGTTAGATTTGTTAAGGTTATCGACAAAAAATATTTGTTTGTCACTTTTTATTCTTTTTGTTTGAGTTTATTTATTTTTTGTTCAAGTTTTTTCTATTTTTGTCCAACTCACTTCCTTTTTTATAACTTATTCTAAGAAAGAGTTTTTATACACCTATTTTATTCAATAATTCATATTTTACATTAAATTTTAACAATTTAATCGTAAAATTAAAAATTCTTAACGTATCAATTAAATTTATAAAAAAATATAAAAATTGAAAAATATTTGATACTTCATTTTATTAATTTAAATTGTCAGATAATTATAAAAACATTTATATCTTGATTTAAATCTATATAATGAAATATCACATGATTTTTAAATCCTAAACCCTAAAATTTTTTAAGAATTTATATACTTAATTTATATATTAAAAAATTTTAATTTAATAATTTAAAATTTGATATATAACATAAATTATTGAGTTAAATAAATTTATCAAAACTTATTTTTTTTAGTAAATGAATCCTTCATTTATATATAGAAAGATTGAGAGAGAGAAAATGAATACATTCAATTTTTTAACTTTCAAAAATATATTTATCATATTATTTTACAAAATATTAATTAAATAACATAATTGTGTTATAATATATATATATATATATATAGAAAAAGAAAATATAAGATACAAATGAACTTATTATATATGTCTTAGAAAAATATAATATATTTAATTATTTGCTTTTTAAAAAAATTTATAAGATCCCCTCAAAAAAAAATTATAAGAGATTTTTATAAAATATTAATTCAATAGCATAATTGTGTTATAATCTATTTTTGCACTATTAACTATTAATACAGGAGACTATTTAATTTACACAGTTCTTATAACCACATTTCAAACTACTCATTTTCTTTTCACTGGTTTTCAAAATCTATTATTCCAGTTATATTTATACAAAATTTTATTATTAAATGTTTGCTATTATTTTTTTTATAAATAAGGTACAAAGATTTTTTTACGACAGTATATATATAAAAAATATATATTTAATTGTATATTTTATTTATATATATAATATTAATTAATATATATAACACTAATATATATATATATATATATATATTCAATTCTCTTTAAATGATAAATATGTTTTAATCCATGTAAAATAAACAAGTTTTGATTTTGATTTCTGTAATTTTTTTCTTTATTTTTTATCTCTCTAAAATTTAAACTATTGTTTTTAGTCTCAGTTATTTTATAATAATTTATAAACCTTTAAAATAAATGTTATTGATAATTATATAGCTTAAAATCATCCTTAGAGATATAAAATAGTGATTTTAGTGGAATGAAAATCATGGAAAAAAATATTTTATTATGATCAAAATCAAAATTTGCATATTTAAAAAAACCAATAATATTTTACAAAGACAAATATAATGTTTATAACTTTTAGAAAAATGAAAAACAAAAAAATTACTGGGAATAAAATATAAACTCATTCATTTCAGCGACAAAATTGTGTTATACTATATTAGAAAAATGTTATTTATTTATATATTTGTATTACATTGATAGTTTCAAATATCACAATATCATTTCTTTTAAAGTCTAATTGACTTATATATATATATATATATGAT